GTCACATAGTCGAAGTAAACATATAGACACAAAATATCATTTTATTTGAGAGCAAGTAAATAACAAAGTTGTGAAACTAGTCCATTGTAGAATAGAAGATCAACTTGCAGATATTTTTACAAAGCCTTCGAAGATCGAAGTATTCCACAGACTCAAAGAAAAGCTTGGCATGCAAAGTCGGGTTTGAGGGGGAGTGTTGGAATTCAAACCCGATCAATTTGTTAAGACTATTAACTTGCTACCTAGACATGGGTTGTAAAGTAGAGGAGGTGCAGATTAAGTGGATGTATATTAGCTAGAAAGGAGCTGTACAAGTGGTGCAAGTTGCTGTCAAAGGCGGTGCAAACTTCAGCTATATAAGCTGTCAAAAGTTGGTGAAATTTCAGCAAGAATTGGTCTGTCAAAGTCGGTGGAATTTATGGTATACATGAGCTGTAAAGTCTGCAATTCCAGCAGGATATAAGGTGTCAAAGTCATGTATAAGTTGTCTAGATTAATCCTCAATGAAGGTGTAGCATGTCGATAAATAGGAACTTGTGTTTGTTGTAATAAAAATATATGAGAAATAGAGAGAACACAAGAGAAAAGAGAGAGTAGAAACTTAGATAGCAGCAGCTACCAATAGAAAAAATTAAGTGTTGTAACACTTATCTATTGAGATAAATTTTTGTGAGAGAAAGAGATTTCTTTTATAATCACTATATCATCAATATTTCCATTTGAGTTAAAGCGTAGCACGCTTCCAACAAAATTTTGGATTGAGAATTTGGGGCGTGGCGAAACTGGTCTGGACTCGAGTTTCTGTTGATGCTTTGTTGCATGTAAATTTGCCCTTTCGTTATGCATGCCTGCAAATCCTCTATATTGCTTACACATAGATTATGTTCGGGGGTACGTGGTAGTGAATCTATAGTTGTGAATTGGGATTCGAAGATATTTGATGTTAATGGCGTGCATCACGTCCAGTGAAGGCTGAATGTCATGGAGGGATGTACAATAACTGTTTTATGTATTTGTTCCATGGCTGCATGCTTCGTTTGAAGTTGGGCTAGTACTAGGGTGCTACTACTGTATATGTGTGATTCTTTCGGGTTGTTGTTGTGTTTTTTAGATTTCAGGGGTCCAACTAGAGTGCCTTCATCGTGTTGAGAATTTGGAATGATACATGCCTTTCACGGCCTTTGTGCTTCTAAGTGACTTGTGTCCGAAATGAATTTGAAGGGTTCGAATATTTCATGTTATCACCTGTTCTTCCACACATAAATGTACTCTTTAAATCCAATAACCGTACAGCTGCTCTCAATTTTTTTTTAATATAAAATAAAAAGTCAAGAAGAAGAGATAAAACTGTAAGCCGAATTCACTTATGATCGGACGATTCCAATCTTCACGCCAATCAACGACAAATTTAAACAGAAAAACTTCATAAGAAATTCACAGACATATAAAAAAGGAGATATGAAGTTTTGAAATTTTATATCTAAAAAGTATAAAATTGAATTTGAGTCTAAAATAATTGTTTAGAAATGGCTTTCGAAATTTAAGCTTTGAAGGTTTTTGGGAGGGTGTGAATGTGTTTTTTGGTGGAAAAAAGAGCAAAATATGGCTTTTTAGGAGTGGCAGGCTGTATTTGGCCAGAATCCAACGAGCAAAGAACAAGATATAGTTTGGTCCTTGAAAATCCAAGTCCTCTAGTTTGATATACTATTCGCTATGGTACTCAAACTTTTTAATAGCTCCAGATAACCCGTTGGTCTAAATTTTGACATTCCCAACATAAAATTGGTTGTTATATATACCATGTTTATGCTTATTTTTTTTGACATTGGTTGATTTGAAGTGATATTTTTAAATTTTATGTAGCTGTTTAATATTAATCAGAGGCTGTTTTGATCATATTGCAGATATAAAGACTATTTTTTATATATATTTTTTGGCAGAAAATGTGGAATAGAAAAGGTTAATCATTTTACAATTTAATTTTTTCCTTTTAATTAATGATTTCTCAATACAAAAATTAGTATATCCAAGTATCCTACTATTGGATTATACTAAAGATATGTATATTGTGTATGGAGAGGCCTTGTAATTTTTAACATAAACCATGCCAACTTAATATTACTAAGCGTAACCTCATAAGAGTTATGATACATAAATTTTAGTTTTTTATTTTATTTTATTTTATTAGAATATGAAATTAAAGATATGAAAATATAGTTATTCTTTCAAAATTTCAATTTTTTAAATTTTATCCATTGATAAAAATTTTAATGTAAATTATTAATCAAAGAATTTTTACATAATAATTAAGTGGAAGCATTAAAATGAGATGTATGACATATTTTGTGTATGTATAAAATAGATGTGAAAGAAAAGTAGAAATTTATAAGGTAATCTTATAAGGTAAAAAAAAAAAAAAAAAAAAAAAGAACAAAAACAAAAACAGAAAAGAAAAAAAAAAAGAGGACATATTTTGTATCCTAGTTTTTAAATTGAAATAAGAATTTAAAGATATAAAAATGTAGTTTTTGCCCTCAAATTTCAAATTCATGTCTATTGATACATGCTATAAGGTATAGTATTATTTATAATGATTAAAGAATTTTTATATTACCAAATATTCTTTTTAGTGTAATCCAACATTTAGATACTTAGGGGAAACTATTATTTGTGTTAATAAAATTGTAAATTGAATGAACAAAAAAAAAAAAAATACAAAGTAGATTAGAAAACTACAAAATGAATAACATTTTGTCTTACATTTTTTTTTTAATTTTCCTCTAATTTTTTTTAACCATCTTATAAATACAAAAAGATACCATATATCACATTCTATCATTTCAACAAGATTAATATAAAATTTTATTCTTTAAAATAATTAATAATATACCTTATATTAAAATGCAAGATAATCTAAGGTGAATATTATTATTACTAGTCGATATAAATTAACAAACTTGATATTAATAACTATGTCATAGCTTTTAAAATAGGTTTTAGAACCAAATTTGATAATAATAATAAAAAAAGTGGTGTGATAATTTGTAATTGGATGACAATATGATTTTGGTAAAATCTATAGTAAAGGTGATGATTAAATTTTAAAATAGTAATATAAAATTAAAATAGTGCAAAAAAGAAAAAAAATCATTATGGATAATAACTTACATGAAACAACAAAATTGAAAACTAAAATCACTAAACAAACTCATTTTCGGAAGAAAATTATAAATAGAAACAAATCTAAAATAAATTAAAAATAATATTAAAAAATTATAAAAATAGAGATATAAATTCAAAATAAATTAAATATCTGAGAAAAAAATAAAAAATTAGCAAAAAATAAAATCAAAATTATTTTCCAATCATCATAAAGCTAAAATAGTTTTTATATCCATAAAATGGTCAAAACGAGTTATTGATTAATCTTAAACAACTACCAAAAATTCAAAAATATCACTTCAAATCAACTCATATTTTTTAAAAATTATCATAAACATGATACATAAAACAATTAATTTTACTTTTGGAAGACAAAAATTTTGGGTTGAGGGCTTATATGAAGAAATTAAAAGTTTGAAGAGCATAAGGAAAGTATAGTAAACCAGAGGACTAGGAAGGCATGGATCATCCCAGCATGATGCAGGCATTGTAGAAATTTTCTTAATCTAAGGCCTTGTACCAATATAAGGGCTTGTTGGTAATTATTGAATTGATAATTGTGTTTAGGTTTTATCTTAATAAAAAAAAAATTTAAATTTTGTGGTTGATAACTCATTCTTAACTTTATATATACTTTGTATTCTTATATCAATTACATGTGAGATATATGCTCACTAACAATATTAAATGATTTGATTATTGGCTGCAAAACTAAAAATTCTAGAAAATGCAAGTCAATGAAATTGAGGACAAGCATCACGTAATTACGATGGTTACAGTTTTATCTTAACGATGTTTTTAATGAAGGGAAGACATTAAGCAAAGTGATAATGTAGAGGACTCGATCAACCATATTTTTACTTAATTGAGGGACCTGATTAAACAAGTTTTAGTAGTATAAGGAGGAGAAGGATTGTTTACCGTTTTATTAAGAGATATCGAATTAGATTGAGCAGCATAGAGGTATAACATCCAGAGAGATTGAGGATATATGGGCATCCATTTGTTTAAGTTCCAGGTTTTTATACAACAAAATACAGGAGGAAGATGATAAAAAATATGCAAAATTCAATAAATATCAATAATTGGTAGTGCTCATGGCAACGTTAATTATCAGTTATTATACCAACTTGCAGTAGTCATAGCTCCAAAAACTCTCAGTTTCCTCACATGGAAAGAAAAAAATCATTGCAGCAAAAGCAGAACCGGCTGAAAAAAAAAAAAAAAAAAACATTTCATTTCCCGCATAAACCATACACAGTACAAGGAACCAAAGTAGCCGCTTATTATTTCTTACTCTACCATTAATACCTACAGCCTCTTTCTTTTTCAGTTTACAATTGGAAGGGCCCTTTCATATCGTACGTGATGAAGGACTAAAAACACTAGCTTCCTCTCTGTTGTTCTTGAACCTCCTAGCATCTTCCCTTGAGATTTGAAATGAGTTTGCTAGCACTTCCTCTGGCTAGGACCGGATGGAAGAGACACGCCCTGCCAACTGACCGATTTGTGCATTGTCATTGGTTTTAAATGATACCCACTCAAGGCCTTGGTTTCCTGCCTTCTCCGCAACTGTAAAGTTTTGTGGTGCTAACTTGTCCACCAAATAGTGTTTGTCCATTGTCTCCAACAAGCTGAATCCTTCCATTTCCCCTAGTGATGTACAATATGTTGTGGGCACCGATGTTCCAATGGGGTGACATCAAAGCATTCTACAGCACATGTTCACATTCAAGTACATTGTTAAGAAATTTGCAATAAACTAAGTATAATTTATGATATTCGAGAAATTATTAGGTGGAGTTGATTTACTCAAATTCTTGATATATATATTTCATTTACAGGTTATAAATATAGAGAGAGAGATTCTGGACGCCTCTCTCAACACTAAACTGAACATATCCAAGGACGGGGAGAATGAGGCTGTTGACTGTGGTGAGACGTCCTACTTGTTTAAAGACATTGGCGCGTTTTGGATCTTTGATGTTGTGCTTCAACCTGGTAGTGCAGAATCTACCACGTTGACTCCCTCGGCATTCAACTTTACGTTCTTCTTCCTCTCGACTCTGTGGTGGAATTACTGCCTGAAAGTTACGCTGTGCTCAGACATTGATGCTTCTATCATCATTGTTATTCTTCATTCGTCTTGCTAGTCTTGTGTCAATGTTGAAAGCTTCTGCAAGGATTCGCTCATCGAAGCCACTGAAGACATTGTGATTTCTTTCTTGCTGGGTTCTCTGCCTTGGGCATTCAAATTGCCCCCCAAATTGGTCTCTTGGGAGAAGCTTCTTCGGCTCCATGTTATTATATTTTATAATTATGTATAAACTTTACTACCCAAGATCTTAGAACTTTATAATTTTTTACATACCAAATAAAGTTAACAGAAAACACAAATTGATGCATAATAAAACTTGAAAATATTAAATAATTACAAGAAAAATTCTTTAGGAAACTATTAAATCTTTTAGAAAATTATATTTTTCTCTCTTGGCCTTCTTAAGTTTTTAATATACAGGTAGTTCTACCTCTTTATAAGGTAGAGAGCGACCTATTTCAAAAATCATCTTAATTTAATGCTATATATATATATATATATATATATATATATATATATATATATATATATAATGTTCCATAATTCAAGAGTCATCTTAATTTAATGCTCTATAATTCAAAAAATTTTTAATTTAAAGCTTCATAATTCAAGAGTCTTCTTAATTTAACACTCCATCAATGGACTTTTCAAGTGACCAATAGATTGTCAACACACTTAATTTCTTAAACCCATAAAAACATGTGCCACTTAAAAGAAAATATCTAACCATCTTCCACTTGGCTCATGTGACATTATAATGCCCCCCCCCCCCCCCCCAAAAAAAAAAAAAAAAAAAAAAAACAAACAAATGCATAATAAAATGCTAAACTCTTTTCTACATTGATCTTAACATTAATCATGATTAAGTAAAAACTAATAAGGGTCACATTAATTGTATGCCACTAATTCAACATATTTCCTTCCATGTATCATGATATTAGTTCAACACTTAACATGATTTGTAATGAAATATGTTATAATGCCTTAACAATAATGTCTTTGTCAAAGACAACATGTTAATATTCACATAATTCATTTATGTATATATACCAATGGCCATAACTCAATTTTAGACCCCATAATTATTTTATAAATTTTTTTATTTAAATTTTTTTTTATTTTATTGTCTAATTATATAGTGGAGGTTGTTCATGATTTTTTTTTATTGTTTTATTATTAGAGTTAGTTTTGTTTTATCATTTTATCATTAACTTTTAAAGTTTAGTTTAATTATATTTATCATTCTAAATAAAAAAAATGAAAATGAAACAAAAAATAAAAAAAGGAGAAAAGAAAATACAAAAAGATTTTGATCAATTTCACCTCTATCATTTGATGTTATCCTTTTTTTTTTTTATATATCATTAAAAAAGAAAAAAGAGAGAGTTAATTTCATATTCTAAGGATTCAATTGCAATTAATTTGAAAAATAATATGGGTCAATTCACCAATACCAAAAGTCTTGAGGAACAATCGAGAAGAAATTGAGAGTTAATTGGAAAGAATTAAAACTAAAAGGACCAAAATAACCTACTCGAGGGATCTAATTGAACGAAAGTTAGAATGTGGAGAGACAAAATTGCAAGAGACGAATGGACGATAAGACCATATCGAAAGTTTGGCAACGGACTAAATGTCGTCTATTGTCTCTTATTTCAAGTCTTGTGCATTGTTCCTCTCATTTTTTTTTTACCCTTCAAGGTGTGTTTTTTTTCACAAAAATAAACAAAGAAGCTAGCAAATGTTTTTCTCTTTTTATGTCACATGTACCCTCTCCCCTCACAAACTGTTCTTGTACCCTCTACCTCGTTAATACCCAAACAAAAATCTTAAGCCACTTAATGTCCTTCCCTTTAATCCCACTCTCGTCGTACCCGAACCAAAAAAAAAAAAAAAAAAAACAAAGAGATGTTGGACAAGAAAACAAAAAAGAGGAGGGAACTTGCTGGTCAAGAAAAATGAGAGGCTAGGATTGTTTCAAGTGGAATGGAGGGTATCAAAGAAAAAAAAATGGTATATAAGAGAAGCAATGGAGGTCGGTAAAAAGGAGGGGCGTAACCGAGAGAAAAAGAAAGGTTTTTAGGGTTTTTTCGAGGTGTTGCTAAGGCCGGGGCTTTAGTTTTAGGTTCTAGTTAGCTTGAGGGAACTTAAAAACTAAGAATTAGAATGTGTAAAGAGGGTTTCTCTAGTGGTTAAGGAAAAAAAAAATAGAGGAGACACGGGAGAGAGAGAGCCAAAAAACCGAAAAATTTGTAGCTTGAGTTTTGAAAGAGAAAATAAGGAAAAGAAGGGAAGGTGGCCATCAAATCATCCTTGCATAGCTATTGCTCATTTGTTACTCAAAAAGCTTGAAAAGGTAAAAACTCTCTCATCCATGATATAACACCCCCAACCTACGATTTAAATGAGTCGAGAATATTACCAATGATGTAATACCCCAAACCTATGAATAAATAAAATAATATATGTTATGTGTATGAAAATTACTCAATATGCATAGAATAATTGCTAGATGGGTGTTAGAATATTCTATTCACTTAGGTTACTTTTTTTTGTGCTTAGTGAATATTTTATTGGCTTTTTTATGCGTGAATAATGCTTTTTATGCAAAATAATTATTTTGAGTGCCTAAATAAGTGCATAAAAATTATGCGATTAATGAATAAATTACTATAGAAAGTGCATCAATTTATTGTGAAAAGAAATTATTTTTCTAATGTGTGTAGAATTAATTATGCACACATAAGGACTTAATTGCATAAAATTAAAAGTTTTGGCCTTCAAATAAATCTAAAATTAAATTTCAAGAGGCATAAAAATATTTGAAAATCCTAAAAGAAGGACCAAAAATGTTCATCTAAAAATTTGAAGGACTAAAATATAGGGACTAAATAAAATAGTGTGATAAAATGAGGTGCCAAAATAAATATATTTCGCCAAGATTTTCATATCCAATCGGCTACTTCATCCCTCATTTAATGGATGTAATTATGCAATTTAACAAAAATCTAATTATACCTATCTTTATGCACAAATGGATGGCTAGGATTAAAAGAAAAATCATGGATGGAGATGGGAACAAATGAAGGGCTAAGATGTGAGTCAAACTAAGAAAAGTTCACCTTTTTGTCTACAAGTTTCAGCTTGAGGGGGGGGGGGGGAGAAAATGGTGGGAAAATGGTAAAACTAAGCCAAACCCTTGCCAAAAAAATTAGGAAAATCACAGACCAACTAAACTAAGACATTAAAAAACATCCTCAAATCACTCAATCAATCTTTGGATCATAGTTGGAAGATAAAAAATATTGAGGAATTTTAGAGAGAAGGCCAAAATGTTGGAGTAAGAGGGAGGGAAGAAAATCTTGTAAAAATTCAACTAAAAAAGAATTAATTTGGAGTGTTAAAGGTAAGCTAGTTACACTACATCATAAGAACTCAATTATTAGTGTTGAATTGAATGATTTGAAAGGAAAGATGATGTATGTTATATGTTTGTATGTGATGATGTTGTTGAAAATGGAAATTTTCATGGATGAATTATAAAAATTAAATTTGATGGTGTTGTTTAGATAGAGATTTATTAAGAAAAGGAAAAAATCCCTTGGCTTATTTGATGATGAAAAATTCGACCAAGTAGGAAAAATTTAGGTTTTGTGAATTTGTTAGGGTATTATGAATAAATGATGTTAGTTAATGTTAAAATGTTTATTTAAGACAATATATGCATTAAACCTTAGATAGTTCATTTAGATGATGGATTACATATTATTTTGGAAAAACCAAAGTTAGGTTTTACATGGCCAAGTTAGGTAAGGTAGATGAATATGGCAAATTAGTAAGATTAATAGCAAGGAAATGATGATTGGTATGGAAATATATATATGAAAATTTGGAAATAATCCAACCAATTAATAACTTGCTAAAATTTGAATTTTAAAGTTAGATTGTCAATTTTGGAAGTTTAATGGAGGGATGAATAGTTGGGAATTAGAGTAAATAAAAATGTATTAAGTCAAAGACAGATGAAATTAGGCATGAAAAATGAAAAATATACCTAATTTATGCCAGGTAATATTTCGACCAAGTATAATAATAATAATAATAATAAGGTTAATGAGTTAAATAATTGGATGTGTTTGAATGAGGAAATTAATGAAATAGAAAGTATAAGTAAAACCGTAATGTGAAATTTAAAGAATGAATAAAAAATTTACACTTATTATACTTAGGTATATATTTTGGCACAAATGGAAAATAAATAGGGTTATAACCAAGAAGGGGTGGTAAGGATTAAATGATAGGGAGAGGAAAATTGAGTATGTCATTATTGACTTAAGGAATAAAATGCACATTAAACCCCAAATAATTCACCTAACTCAAGTTAGGTGTGTAGAGTAAATAATTATGTCATAATAAAGGAAATTTGAGTAATTAATTTAATTATTTAATTACATGGAAGGTTGAATAGATAAATATATTTATGTTTTTATTTTATGGTTATTTGAAATGTGATGATATGTGAATATTTTTATGCTTTTATTTCTTGACTATGTGAAATGTGATTGTGGGTGAATATATTTAAGCTTTTATTGCATGAATATGAAATGTGATGATGTGCGATACACTCGTGATGAATGTTTTATTTGATTGGACTATGTACCTTGAATTGAATGTGATAGGTTGAAATGTGAAAGGTGATGAAATATGATGTGCATTTTTATTATGTTGAGGCATGCAATTTTATTACATAAATGCACATTTATTTATGATATGCATTATATTAATTCATGAGGATATGCATTTACATTTAAATGCATATGCATGTCGAATTGTGAAAAGGTTTTTTCCTCATGATTTTTACAAGGAAAAGGAAAAAGGTTATTAGGGGTTTAACTATCCCTAACATTTCTTCATTTGGGGAATTGGTAAAGGCCTCAATAGAAAAAAATGATAAAGGAAAAAGAGGGTCGAATTTTTACACATGTGTGTATAATATACATTTGGTAGGGTACGTCCGAACAATAAAAAGAATTTTGAAAAGGACATAAAAAAGGATTTTGAAGTGCATTCATTTGTATACATGCATAACATGCATGACTAACTTACCGAGGAATAACTCACCTGGTTTTAGTGATATAGAGGTGAAGAATAAAAAATAATGGCCATGTTCACATTAGAAATGGTTACTAAAGGGAGTCTCCC